TCCTATGTGCCTTGGGAGGAAAAGATATGATTTTGAATTTGGAGCAACAGGCAAATTTTTTTGCAATTTGCCAAATTTGGTCTGGTATTGCACCCTATACCTATGTTCTGACTGTGCTGCAAAAGTAATCAAATATACTATTTATTAATTTCGAATTTCCCTTCATTGAAAGGATCTAATATTGTGGACTAAACTAAATCTTAATCAGCATATAAGGCTAAGGCTGCAAACAACAGCCAAGTATTAGCTAGGTCAGGGGTCTTCACCCCTTTTTTCCGGCGACCCAAACCCAAGCTTCATAGGTGTCCCGCGACCCTGAACACTGCCAATAAAACTTTCGATAATTAAAAACATTATGGCTTTTCACGGAAAGTTTCCGAGTGTATGACGACGACTCTACTTCGGAAGACGACGTGCGCCGAAGGCGTGCCGAGTGGTGCTAAGCCATAATGTTTGAGTTATATGAAGTAAAAGGTATTATATCTAAAGCTTTGCCAGTTTACCTGTTTACCATATTATTCTAGCAATCTAGCGCTTGAGTGTTTCATAATAATCGTGAAAAAACATTATAATCGCAAATTTCGCAAGGAAATATTCATATGTAAATATGTGCATCTTATCACTTGATCTCTCGTCTTGTAAAGTTTACTAGTGTACGTTCGCGACCCTAGACAAGCATTGCGACCCATGCGACCCAAGACAAGCCTTGCGACCTTCGAGGGTGTGCTAGCGACCCAATTTTGGGTCGCGACCCATGGTTTGAAGACCCCTGAGCTAGGTAGTTTGCAAACTTTAAAAATAATTGGATCTCAAACTTTGACCTCCAAAAGTAAACAAACAGCCAATACTGCAAACATAATCCAAGTTTTGATCACTAGGTCTAGGGCTAGGCGGAATGTTTAGATGTAAAAAAATTAAAACTTGTTTAAATTACACTTTAAACAAAGGCAAAACAAAATTTGGTATTATTTTTTTGAGGAAAAAGTCAAGGTTTTTTTGCTATTCTATTATAGAAATTATGCTTTTTTTCTCGGGAAAGATTTTATTTTTCTCAAAAAAATACTTTATAAACACGGAAACCTTAAATATTTAAATAATTATTATACCTTTTTGGGATTGCAAAAAGCAAAGTTTGATTCATTATCCCACTTTCCAAAATATATGTGACAAAGTTGCTTCATATTCACTCTCACGCCGTAGCATGATTATTTACCCTCATCCTTTGACTGAATAAAGTTTATCTTCTCGAAATTAGTTATTTGTTTTATAGCTCTAATAGACAATTCCCATTACAGACTGGTTTTAAAACTAGGCAAAGAGATGCAAATAAATTACCACAGCTAGAAAGAGCATACTAAAATGAGTAAAATTGCATAGTTTGGTTGCGAAATGTTGTAAAATGCGGAAAATATAGCCTTGCAAATTTTGTATACTTTTGTATTGCGCGCGGAAAATTCAATATCTACCACATTCCTACTACATATTTGGGCCGAAAATGGAAGCAATTTCCCCACGCAATACAAAAGTATACAAAACTTGCAATATTTTGGCAATATTTGGCTATATATGGCTATATTTTCTGCATTTTAAAACATTTCGCAACCGGCAAACTTTGTAATTTTACTAATTTTAGTATGCTCTTTATAGCTGTGGTGACTTATTTGCATCTCCTTGCCTAGTTTTAAAATTAGCCTATAATGGGAATTGTCTATTGGTTACAGGTTTACGTTTATGTCGATTTTGGCACCCATGAGACCAACAAGTTGTAGTAATCTGCGAATGAAAATGGATATTCGAAGAGCATAAAAGCCAACTCCTCTATGTATAACTTTATCGCCTGTATTTTAAATCAATCCAAAATAACCACAATTAAAATGCTGATAATGTAGATCATTTAATTTAATCGCTGTCTATAAGAATGCAAAATCATCAGTTGAAATTTCAGTCGTGTTGTTTTTTCAAATTTTCGAATTTTTGTAAAATATCACGTGCGCCAGGAAATTTCTCTGCACAGCGACAACAAATTTCCCAGCTGCTCTAATGCTTTCCTTTCCCCGGGTGTAAATAGCCGAGCGGAATTTGTACCCTCGCCCCGGGATTAAGCCCGGAACGACACTCCGCGCCGTTGGCTCGGGGATAAATTGAGCACTCCAGTGAATAGGATACAGCGAATCGTTAAAGCAACAAGATTTTCTTTCGCATGCACTCTAAACGTTTAACGAACTACAGCAGTCGCGTACACAGTGTCCTTGAACGTAAAATAGTATAGGGCCACAGTAATACCTTGATCAAACGTGCATTAGAGTTAGAGTATGATAGCAGTTTCCCGATCTGCTGGACTCGTATGAACAACCTCTTAAATTTAAAATGCTTGCCCTGCATGCATATACCACCACCTTCCGAAAATAACGTTTGGTCGAGGTTATTCTGTTACGCAGGACGAAGAAAAGTAATTGGGGAAAAGATTTTTAATCGTATCTTAAACAATATCATCAACTCGAACCGACTTGACCACGTAGCTCAGTTGGCAGAGCATTGTACTAGTATCCCAAAGGTCACGTGTTCGATTCCCACCGTAGCCTGCGAACAGGCTCTCAAGGTGAATTGAGAGCTTGCATCGATGACATAGAATAAGAAATGAATAGAAGGGCAACTCGCGTCGGAACCTTTGAAGTTTTTGAAGCCGCGCATGTCGCCTCGCGCATACCGGAAATTGCCCGCTCTAATTACTCGCAGCCAGTAAAGCCAGCCATTTTATTAGAGATTTGTATTGCAGAATGACCATTTGGCTGAATAAATCGACTATTTTTCGCAAACGAACGATTCAATTTACAAACCACGGCCGCTGGTTGTAATTTGAACGTTAGTGAATACATATCTGTTGGTTATGAGATGTTATAGAATTGCTAAATGCGAAATTTACCACATTTGGGCCGAAAATGGTAGCGATTTTCGCACGCAATACAAAAGTATACGAAATTTGCAAATCTTGCAATGCTATATATTCCGCATTTTACTACATTTCGCAACCAAATTTCTTTTTCGTGTGCTCTTTCTAGTTGTAGTGATTTATTTCCATCTCCTTGCTCCATGCCTAGTTTTAAAATTAGCCTATAATAGGAATTGTCTATTGTGTTACACTATTCTCTGCGACCTGCGAACAGGCATGTTCTTTAGACGCAGCTGCGACCTGCGACCTGTGACCAGCGACCTGTGACCAGCGACCTGTGACCAGCGACCTGTGACCTGCGACCTGTGACCAGCGACCTGTGTTTTAGACTCACCGTTCAGACACAGACAGACAACTTCCCACACGAAATAAATTTGATTAACTGCTCGCGATTTTGAAATTTATACTTTTTAAAATAAAATTTGATGCAATCCAAAACCTGTCCTGATAAGATTTTACATAAACCTCGAAAATCGAAATAAATAACATAGTATACGCGATCGACTGTCAGCATTTCATTCAGATTCAGACTGTAGCTCACACAACAATATCAAATTTCTCCCTAAATATTCGTTTCTTTCTATGCTAGCCACAATAATAATTTAGGCTTATATTGCCTCTGCAGGCAGTTGCAGTAGTTTGATATTCCAATCCTTTGTTTCCGAAAAATAGTCGATTTTGTGATGAAAATGTACATTTCGTATGAATCCCTATTGCACTGACTGGCTTTACTGGCTGCGAGCTTGAAAGATCCCGCGCGTGCGCACTGAAATTGGTTACGCGTTGTACACGCGAGTTGCCCTTCTATTCATTTCTTATTCTACGTCGATGACTAATGAATTTGAATATATGCCCCGTAACGTTCGTTTTTCCAAATATGGAATGTCTATCCTTATATGGTATTGTTTACAACTTCCGTGCAAATTAGACCGTGCAAACTAAATTTAGACCGTGCAAACTAAATTTAGACCGTGCAAACTAAATTTAGACCGTACAGTTTAAACTGTTTTTCGAAGTATAAGATATTCAAGCAAAAGTGTAAGTGTTTTAAATACTGTTTTCTCAAAACAGAACATTTCATGCTTTGAGATAAGATGGCCAAGACCAATTTGATGGCCTTTGATCAGTTAATGTGTTTTCTATGCATAGTGCTTCAGCAGTTGACATATATAGAGCTCAGCGGAAACATATAAATTATAGCATCTGACCAATGAGAATTTCGCGTCACGATTTGAGACGCAGATATTCAAATTCATTAGTCATCGATGCAGGCTCTCAATTCACCTTGAGAGCCTGTTCGCAGGCTATTCCCACAGTGGCCAAGATAACTTTTCAGCTTGCCCGGTGTGGATGCACACTGAGAATAACATCAAAAACATCATATATTTGTTGCACCTGAGTACATAACACTAACACACACAAAAAATAATCGTATCTTAAAGGTCTGTTTGATGGAAACGTAAAACATGAAAAATTCAAACATTTTTGCTTTTCCTATATAACGATTGGTTTCATTGCCAAAATAACGCCGATTTCTTCTTCTTGTGCACCCTTTTCACATTTGGCCATCTGGATTGTTTGAATTGGCTAGGGGTGCATCGGTACTCATCTAGCTGATGGAACCAGAACTCTGAAAAATTGGGGTTCCGACCGGAACTAACCGGCCGGAATGAGTTCCGGTGCACCCGTAGAATTGGCATGCTTCTCTGCGACAATCAAACGGAATAATAAAATTCATAGGGTGTGAAACAAAACTGGAAGACCTTTCCGTTTCACCAAAACCTAATTCGTAAACCTTATTTCCCAAGCAGTAGTGTAATGAGTATCTGCCTCGGGCGAATTGGACAACCACACTTTGTTTAATTAACACTATTAAATGAAAAAAGCTCTCAAGTAGATTAATGGCTGGGTCTGGTTTAAAATTACCATTAAAACACTTAAATGGCCATAAAACATCAGGGAATCCATATTTTGCGGGGACATTAACAGTGCTTGACCACAAAAGAACGAGGATATAAATCAGAGGAAACACGCGCGCACCTTGTGTTAGGAGAAGCTTATAGACTGAACAATCAAATTCAAAATGCAATGGAATACCATGAACAAGCCTTGGAAATTGCAAAAGAACGAAAAGATCAAGATCAGGAGACAATGGCACACCTTGGGTTAGGAGCTGTTTATACATTGAACAATCAGTTTCAAACGGCAATTGAGTGCTATGAACAAGCCTTGGAAATTGCAAAAGAACGAAAAGATCAATATCAGGAGAGAATCGCATACCTTGGATTAGGACTTGTTTATAGATTGAATAATCAATTTCAAACGGCAATTAAATACTATGAGCAAGGCTTGAAAATTGCAAAAGAACGAAAAAATCAAGATCAGGAAACAACGCCATACCTTGGGTTAGGAGCTGTTTATAGATTGAACAATCAGTTTCAAATGGCAATTAAATACTATGAGCAAGCTTTGGAAATTGCAAAAAAAACGAAAATATCAAGGTCACGAGACAACGGCATACCTAGGTTTAGGAGTTGTTTACAGATTGAACAATCAGTTTCAAACGGCAATTAAATACTATGAGCAAGCCTTGGAAATTGCAAAAGGACGAAAAGATCAAGGTCACGAGACAACGGCATACCTTGGTTTAGGAGTTGTTTACAGATTGAACAATCAGTTTCAAACGGCAATTAAATACTATGAGCAAGCCTTGGAAATTGCAAAAGGACGAAAAGATCAAAATCAGGAGACAAAGGCATACCTTGGGTTAGGAGATGCTAATAGATCCAACAATCAGTTTCAAACGTCAATTAAATACTACGAGGAAGCATTGGAAATTGCAAAAGAACGAAAAGATCAAGCTCAGGAGACAACTGCACACCTTGGGTTAGGAGCTGTTTATAAATTGAACAATAAGTTTCAACCGGCAATTAAATACTATGAGCAAGGCTTGGAAATTGCAAAAGAAAAAAAAGATCAAGCTCAGGAGACGACGGCATACCTTGGGTTAGGAGTTCTTTATAGATTGAACAATCAGTTTGAAACGGCAGTTAAATACTATGAACAATCCTTGGAAATTGCAAAAGAACGAAAAGATCAAGATCAGGAGACAACGGCATATCTTGGGTTAGGAGATGCTTATAGAGTGAACAATCAGTTTCAAACGGTAATTAAATACTATGAGCAAGCCTTGGAAATTGCAAAAGAACGAAAAGATCACGATCAGGAGACAACGGCATACCTTGGGTTAGGAGATGCTTGTAGATTGAACAATCAGTTTGATATGGCAATTAAATACTATGAGCGAGCCTTGGAAATTGCAAAAGAACGAAAAGATCAAGATCAGGAGACAATGGCACACCTTGGGTTAGGAGCTGTTTATACATTGAACAATCAGTTTCAAACGGCAATTGAGTGCTATGAACAAGCCTTGGAAATTGCAAAAGAACGAAAAGATCAATATCAGGAGACAGTGGCATACCTTGTGTTAGGAGAGGCTTATAGATTGAACAATCTGTTTGATATGGCAATTAAATACTATGAGCAAGGCTTGGAAATTGCAAAAGAAAAAAAAGATCAAGCTCAGGAGACGACGGCATACCTTGGGTTAGGAGTTCTTTATAGATTGAACAATCAGTTTGAAACGGCAGTTAAATACTATGAACAATCCTTGGAAATTGCAAAAGAACGAAAAGATCAAGATCAGGAGACAACGGCATATCTTGGGTTAGGAGATGCTTATAGAGTGAACAATCAGTTTCAAACGGTAATTAAATACTATGAGCAAGCCTTGGAAATTGCAAAAGAACGAAAAGATCACGATCAGGAGACAACGGCATACCTTGGGTTAGGAGATGCTTGTAGATTGAACAATCAGTGTGATATGGCAATTAAATACTATGAGCGAGCCTTGGAAATTGCAAAAGAACGAAAAGATCAAGATCAGGAGACAATGGCACACCTTGGGTTAGGAGCTGTTTATACATTGAACAATCAGTTTCAAACGGCAATTGAGTGCTATGAACAAGCCTTGGAAATTGCAAAAGAACGAAAAGATCAATATCAGGAGACAGTGGCATACCTTGTGTTAGGAGAGGCTTATAGATTGAACAATCTGTTTGATATGGCAATTAAATACTATGAGCAAGCCTTGGAAATTGCAAAAGACCGAGAAGATCAAGCTCAGGAGACAACGGCATACCTTGGGTTAGGGCTTGTTTATAGATTGAACAATAAGTTTCAAACGGCAATTAAATACTATGAACAAGCCTTGCAAATTGCAGAAGAACGAAAAGATCAAGATCAGGAGACAACGGCATATCTTGGGTTAGGAGATGCTTATAGAGTGAACAATCGGTTTGAAACGGCAATTGAATACTATGAGCAAGCCTTGGAAATTGCAAAAGAACGAAAAGATCATGATCAGAAGACAACGGCATACCTTAACTTAGGATTTGTTTATAGATTGAACAATCAGTTTCAAACGGCAATTGAATGCTATGAGCAAGCCTTGGAAATTGCAAAAGAACTAGAAAATAAACACATAGGAAATATTGCGAGAAATGCAATTGAAGAATTGTCAAGAATTGCAGGTATGTTTAGGCATTTGAATGTCCTGGTTAGGCCATGGTTATATTACAAAAATAAAATATTCAAATATTCTGCAAATTAACAAAAAGGTGTTGGGTTCAGGTGAACTTGAGATTATCTTAGTAAGAATTATTTGAGAAGCTCTATTTGGTAACTTTACCTGTGCGTGTTGTTATCTCCTTTCATATTCACAGGATGTGACGCACACCGACAGTGGTGACACTGGTTGTTACTAGCTGGCGATCCTGGCAGTTTACGAAACGGAAAATTGCGTCGTCTTCTAATAATTAGATTAGATTAGATTCTTTATTTGCCACAAAATAAATCAATAATTAAATAATGTACAGACATTGGGTAATACAAAAACACCCAAAAAAAACCAAAAACAAAACACAAATATTACTAGATACAACGGAAGTAAATAAATATTGGAAGTGACGAGGAGGCATCCAGAAGCCTAAGGGCTTGTACAAGGGATGACTCCTCTTTATATAGATTATTGAACGGACAGCATAAATAGAATAAGCAGTAGTAAAAATGAGAAATAAGTTCTGAGATTACTCATTGAAAAAACCGGTAATAAAATGATTAGGACTGCAATAAGGGGAAATTGGGGGAATTCGGGGAACTTGTGGCGAATTCCCGAGCCATTCATTGTCGTAAATGTAGATAGTGCCAAATCACATCAAAACATCAAAACAATTGTTTAGTAAATTACTTAAGAGTATTGTTAAAAGCAAAAATCATGCTTATTCATAAAATATTAACGTGCATGGTACTTTCGGTATTAATTATGACATTGGTCATTAGTATATTCGTAATTTTTTCAATATAAACCTTATATGTTATTTGTAAAGTATCAATTAGGCTTCTCAAGCCCAGGGGTCAAGGTTGTAACTAAAGGTTGGACTTTTTTTTGCGGCATGGAAAATTCATACATGATGATGATTTCATGCATTATTAAATTTGTACAAAAAGACCAAGTTATCTTGGTTCGGTGTGGACGTAATGTATGCACCAACTTTTTTATTACGTTGCAAGCCGTTCATATGGAACACTTCAAACCTTCCCTCCTTCCCCATTACCATAAATTGCTTAAACCTTTCGTTTTGTGTGCAAGGTGGTTGGCAAAAACAATCTTTTTCCACTTGGAAGATTGGTAATCAGAAAAATTTTGCGTTGAAAAAATTGAAAGGCCTTTTTAACCACCGATCTTTCTCTCTAGTGTTCTGTCCTAGGACAGGTCCACTCTCCATGGCATACACGTTCTTCGTGCATTTCTGCTCTTCGTGTATTTTTTATAATAGGGTTGTCTCCAAACCGTTTAATTAAGACCTTTGTCTCTTTCTGTCTTTTGTAGAGAGCCCAGAATCGTGGAAATGGGAAGAGAGTTCGAAAGTTTACCGAAAGAAATTCATTAAGCTGCTCCAATATGGAAAAGACTACCCGGAAGAGATCAAGGAAGTTAATGGAGTCCGCGTTTGTTGCTCGAAGGAGTTTCTCATTGGGAAGGGAAGTGATGGCACTCGAGTCTATGTAGGATTAGGGAAAGATGGATACGAAAGGGCTGTAAAACGTTTGCCTAGAGATGCTTGCACTAGCGTAGCTGAACAAGAAAAGAATGTTTTGAACGAACTCAATGCAACTAAGTCAAACTATGTGGTAAATTATTGGTTTTTAGACGAACAAAGCGACAAGCATTACTTGTTTTTAATCTTGGATTTATGTGAGGAAACGTTGGTAAATTTTGTTGCTGGCAGCAGTTCGGAGGATCTAGTAACAATTGATAGATAGATAGATAGATAGATTGTTTGTTTAATAAGATTAACACATAGCAGCCAAGAGGCTGAATTGCGTGCTAAATTTTACAAGAGAAATGATTAAATTAGTTATTCTATATTTACAGAAGTTTAAAATTACATTACAATTTATA